AAAGTCAATGGCAGGAGCCGGGGCTAGTCAGACAACATTCTTCTCGGAGTCCCAGCTTGCGGTAAACTCCTGGGAGTGACTTGTGGATCGCGTCCCTAGAGCCCTGAAATGCCAAGTGTCTGGGCTTTAGGGGTCTTCGATCTGCTCTGCGGCTCAGGAGGGTCTCGGCAGTGCGGATGCTAGCGGCCTCTCAGAAAGAGCAAGGCGCTGGCCCAGGGCTCAGAGTTCTGCGAGCCTAGGGAAGCCTGGAGTCAGGGCGCTTCCCGCTGCTCTAACCCGTCCCCGCCGGGCACTTCTGCACCCGCTGCGCTCTAGTTGATTCAGGACTTGTCGCTTGACTCCTCCATGACCCCCGCAAAACAAACAAAAATTTCCTGCTCGTTTCTTCTGTGTTAGGCACGATAATAAAGGGTGGGGCAACCTCCTCAACCGAGAGGAGGACGATCCCTGCAGGGAAATCGGGGGGCTTACCAGCCCTCTGAACTATCTGTGTGACCTTTAGCCCATTGCTCAACCTCTCCCCTAGCTTCTGTACAACTAGTGGCTTGAATTAAATAAGTGGTTTGCATCCTTTGCCACCCATAATCTCCCGGAGCGAGAAGAAGGCGGGATTGTAGCTTTAGGAAAAAAAACAAAAACCATGTCTGATACTTACCCTCAAAGATTTTGATTTAACTGATCTAGGCCTGCCTGGGCATGGTATTTTTATAAGTTCTGCAGGTGATTCTCTGGTGTGAGGCAAGGTTGAGAACCACTACATTAAATGATTTGGATGACAGCTACCATTTATTTGGCATCTAGAACTATAACATTGATAGATATTTTACGTACGGTATAATTTAATCCTCACAATTGTCCTGGGAGCTAAGTATCACTATCTCTTTTAAACATACGTAAAACCCAAGTACCAGAAGTGGCTTGCCTGAATTCACAGGGCCTGTCAGTGGTGTTGCAGACCAAAGTGCAGGGCTGTGCTTTCCTCCATCTTTCCCAGGAAAGGCAGGAAGCAATGAGCCTAGCAGAAGTAGCCAGCTCTGTGCGGGTACAGTTGCGTACAAATTAAGGGTTTGTTCTTGTTTCTCTGCCAGTAACCCTCACTCCACCTCACAAGGAACTGCTTCTGTTACACACTTGACCCTGAATTCCCCTTTCCACCCATACTTGAGTTTGAGATGTTAAATAGCCCAGGAAATGGCTGCCCTGCTTCCCAGGTCTTGGTAGGGCCTTTCCTTTTTCCATGGCCTTTTTCATTACCCAGTGATCTTTCCTGGCACCCTGAAGGCACTATCTGCTTGATTGTATGTGGTTCTAGAGCTCTGAAAAGCCCAAATTCTTTCCTACAGGGCAAACTCCAGGCCGTCCTTTGTGACTCTGCATTATAGCACCATGGAAGGAAGCCGTCTGCACGCACTGCCCCATCCCCCACCCACAACCTATAATCTGGTGTAAAGTTTGAGGAAGAATGTGGGCGGAGAGATTGGAGAAGAGGTGCTCAAGGGTAAAAGGTCTCTCTGAGGGTGAGAGCCTTGTGATATAAACATTTTGGAAGTGTTTTCCTCTTTGTCATCCCATCTGGAGTCCCACTGGTCCTCTGAACATCCCAAGACATCAGAAAAGTAATAGATTTCATTCTCAGGGGAACAGACTCAGAGGCACTGGTTGAAGGGTTTGGTTGGGGGGCTGTTGTGTCTTTACACCTGCACTCTGGAAGGATCTGTCTGTGTAGGGTTGGATCAAGTCAGGAAGGGAGAGGAAGGGGCCACCTCCCAGGACTGGAGTCCTTTGGGACTTTCTAAGTAGCCCCAGTAGTGCAGGCAGAGCAAGATGAACCAACTTGGAAACCTTCAAACACACACACGCATACACATGCGCACACACCAGCTTTTAACAAAACAGCAGCTTTTACTAATCTCCAGATGGGGCTGGTCTGGCATGGCCGGTGTAGCAAGCTGCCCTCAAGGGCCAGTCTGTGGTGTGATAGGAGATAACAAAGGTGCACAAATTGGGGCTGCCTTTCTGGGCTCACTGCGGTGGCTCGGATGGGAGCAAATGCCAGGGTTTTCTGAAGACCAAAACCGGCCATTGTGGGCATTGGGCCTCTTTTTCAGGCCCAGCTGGGTCAGTCCCCAGGCCTTGAGGCAGCACCTGCGTCCTGGGCCTGTGGGGCACCACTGTTCTTGCTGCTCGGTGAGAGAAAGATGGCCAGCAGCACGATCAGTATAATGACCAGGCTGCCGCCCACGATTGCCCCCAAGTAGATCCGGCAACGGGTGTTCTCCCAGCGCTTCTTCCGGGCCATAGTCTTGGTTGTCTTGCTGAAGGCTGAGCTCTGTGGACACCCCCAGACATAAGGTGTGAGTTGAGTGTTTCCCCAGAGCCCCGAACCAGCCGCTTCCAGCCCTGCCCTGGCAAGGCCTAGTCTCCTCCCGCAGCCTCCCCATCCTGTCTGCTCCCTTCCTCCACACAGCCTTCCCTGGGATCCCCCCAGCCTGACTCCTGGTCTCAGACACTGGTGTAGCCCCTGACTCGCACTCCTACGGGCTCACACACCACCCCGCTTCTCCCCACTGTTAACAGTGCTAGTCTTCAGCCTTTAGGAAGATCCAAGCTTCAAACCAAGGCCTTCTTACTGCATAAGGCCTACCTACCTGTTGCACAGCTAGGTTGGGGGGTGCCTCAAGAAACCCCACACTGGCCCTCGGGTGAGCCTCAGGCCCCCGAGTGGCCTGGAGACCCTAAGCACAGCCTGAGAGCTCCCTCTGAGGGCCCCTCCTAGTCTCCCCCCCAACCCTGCTTCCCCAGGCCTCATACCATATCTAGGAGTTGGTCTGAACGTTGCTCCAGCTCCGCCAGCTTCCCGTCACGCTCCAGGACCTTGCCGAAGTTGTTGAGCATGATTTCTGTCACCTCATCTGCCTGCCGCTGGCACTGCTCCAACTCTTTCCCTGCCTGTGCACCAAGCCCAAGGTCAGGGTTACACAAGGCCCCCACTTGGCCCTCATCTGGTCCTGAGACCTAGAGACCCCCTTGCCCCCACAGCGTGTGTATGTGTGTGTGTGTGTACACACGTGTAGTATCTGAGTAAGGGGAACAGCATCTTTCATGGAAGGGTCTAATATGTGCAGAGTGAAGGGCCAGCCTCCCGGGGGTGTGTGGCTCACCTTGGGCTCCTCCCCTTACCTATCACGGCAGGTCCTAGATCAGCCTTGACCTCCAGCATTTCAGCTTCCTCTAAGGTGGCCCCGGATGGGACCTTCCAAAGCAGACACTTTGCTCACCTGCTCTAGGTTGGCCTTGACTCAAGGCGCACCTGCCCTGTGGCTTCCCACTGGCCTAAGGAGGCAGCAAAGAACAGAGAGCCAAGCTACTTGGCCAGAGGCAGACAGGGAGGAGATCCTCCCCACAGAGCTAGAGAGGTAATTTTGGACCACCACACGTTACAGCCTCTGCCTCACCCCACAGACACAAACTGAGATCAGATCTCCCTCCCCGCCCTCCCCAGGCTTCTGACTGGTCAGGCCAGTTCTGCCTCCTGGCCTGACCCTGCTCCCACATCAGTGCTCAAAGCTGATTCTCCATCTGCCTGAGAACCTCAGCCTTCCTGGTCCCTGGCCTCCAGCTTTCCAGCTGGCCAAGATCTTCTCTGGGTTCCACCTCACACAGAGGAGACCTACTCTGATTTCCCAGCCTCATCTGACAAAAGAACCCAGCTCATTTCAGAGGACGGGGATGGGAGATGCAGGATCCAAGCAGGGAGACTGACGGGACAGGAGGAAGAAGAAAGCAGGGGTCCCAAGCAAGAAAGGAACTGGACTTTGGAGGCAGGCAACCAGGAGACTCAGGGCAGGGGGCCCTAGTAAGAGCTAGAAGTCCAGGGACATGTCAGAGAGATGAACGCCAGCGGATTAACAAACCACAGCTACTCTCTCCGCCCAGCCTAGTCCCCCACAGCCCAGCCCTGCTCTCATCTCCTCCCCACAGAACACGGGCCAAGCTCCTTTTCCTGCCAGACTATATTGCCCATTGTCTACAGTAGACATTTTGGCACTTGACTGAATTCCACTTAAAACCAGAGAAAGGGAAGGGATCTGGTGGTCACAGAGCGCCACCTCCTACTCAGGCAAGAATCCTCATTGAGGATTTGTGCAGCTGCCTTGCACACAACCTTCAAGCATTCTCAGTGTATGAGTCTGACCTCCCCCACTGGACCACAAGCTCCCAGCAGGAGGGCAGGGGCCAGTGCCTGGGGGCCCAGCATCATGCTGACCACTGCAGGAACTCAGTGAGTGGGCCAGCTGCATTATAGCATATCCAAATGCAACTGTTACTCTCAAGTTTGTTATCCCAGGGTGTTTATCTAGCCCAGCAAGAATCTGGAGGGGCAGGCATCTGAAACCCAAGTAGGCCAATATTTACCCATGAACTAGAAAAGAAACCTGCTTTGAGAAGGGGGGTAGCAAATGACGACAGAGGGGCGCACTCACAGGCTGGGGCAAGCAGTACCAGGGGAACAAGGAGGAAGGAGGAAGAAAGCAGGGAAGCCGTATACTCATCTCTACCTTTTCCTGAGTCAACCACCATCACTACTATTATCGCTGCTATATTACTCAACAAGTCTTCACTGTTTGGAGTCTCTCACATTCAAACAGTCCAAGCCCTCCTCACATTCAAATAGTCCAACACAAAAACCTGGGAATGGACCAAGAGTCAAAAATGAGAATCACTGCTAGAGGCCGGTGGGATGCTGGACATTATTTTTTCTTCTCTGAACCCTACAGCTGTTGTTATCTTATTCTCCAACACGGGGTGATGCTGGGTCACATTCTTCAAGAGACCTGGCTGTGCCTCCTGCTGCAAGCTGCAGCCTCCTTCCCTCACTGCGAAGCCAGGCCTGTCCAGAGCCAAGATGGGCCCAGGCCTAAAAGAACACGGAGGCCTCCAGGTTCAAGTCTCTGGCCCTCCTTGACACCACTCAACCAGAGGAAAAAGGACACCGTATGCACTGGTCACTGCTGGCACAGTGATTGAAATAGAGAACTGCGTGGTGGGGAAGGAGGTAAGTGGCCAGAGGGCAAGACCACGCCGCCTCCTGCCACACAGAACTCAGCAGAGTGCCTGGCACACAGTGGACGTGCGGAAAATATTTTCTGAATGAACTGTGCCTGTTCTTAAAAGGATCACTATAGGCCTGGGGAAAGACATACGTGATACAGTCAGAGAAAAGAGTTTACAGCGTGAGATACAAACAGTGAGTGTCGGAGCTGCCCACAGAGAGGGGATTCCTGAGATGGGGGATGAGGGGGGAGCTCGGACACTCGTGCCACAGAGAGACAGAGACATACTCGGGACAGTGACAGCCTGGCAGAGGGTAAGGATGGAAGGGGCAGGACGGGGATTGAGAAAGCAGTAAAACCAAGAAGAGGAAGCTTATGTGGAGGGAAGGATGGACCCAGAGCTAGAGTAGGTTTCTGAGCCTGGAGGGGCTTCAGGAGAATTTCTCTGCTGGTAGTAAAAGAGAATGGAGGTGAGAAAACTCAAGACGACAGGCCACCAGAAGGCATGGAGGTTAGAAAACTCAAGATGAGAGGCCACCAGAGGCACAGAAAAGTGCCATCAGCAAGAGTCTGAGGTGTCCCGCAGGCTAGCGGGGAGCGGGAGCGAGGGCAAGAGGAAGGGAGAGTGAAAGAGGCGCTTCCGGGGTTTGGAGGGGTGTGGAGGGGTGTGCAGGCGGCACTGCTGGCAAAGGGTATTAGTTACAGGAAACGGACAGACCGTTACCCTGTATGCAGAATACCCCTCCTTTGATTCTCAAATCCCCCCTTAGGGTTTTCCAAGCCAAGTAAGTTTCTTTCTCTGAAAACAAAGCTCTCAAAAAACCTCCCTTTCCAAACTCTCCTGTCTCCCCTCTTTCTTGTTTAGTGCCTACAAAACTCTTATCCAGCTGTCACTGTTATGTCTTCATTTGGACCTGGGCAGCGACCTGGTATGTCAGCTTCTTCCTGGGTCAGCACTTGCCTGACCTCAGAGCCTAAAAGCAAGGCTCTGTGCTGCAGCTCCAGCATCCTTCAAATCCTGCAGTGACTGAAGACCGGGATGTGAACTTCCTGACCCTCCACTTCCTCATCTATAAAGTGGGGACAATGATATCTCCCATAACATTAGCTAAGGCGTGTGATCTATTATAAATTAAGGCTTAGCACAATTCCTGACACATACTAAATGCTCAGTAAATAATAGCCATTATTATTATTGCTGTAGCCCAAGTTACCCTAGCATTCTTTGTAGCTATCAGATCTCAGGAACTACACAATACTTGTGGTCAATAAAACTGCTTAGATATTTTTACAAAATACATAGCCAAGCAAGCTCTTCCTTACTGCAAGTTCGTGCACTTAATTGTTTCTAACCTAAATATAGAACTTGACATGGGCCTTTGATAACTCATATCCAGTTTATTTCCATCAGGCGCTGCAGGCTGTTGAGAAGGTTTCACATCTTGACCGTGATGACAGCTGCCATTCAATGGGCACGTACTCTTGAGCTAAGCACTCTGCGGCTAGCTGTTTGTTCACTTTATCTCATTTAAGCCTCACAACAATCCATTGAGGAAAGTGCTGTTATTCCAGTTCTATAAGAAATTGAAGCCCAGAGGGGTTAAATCACCCATCCAAGGTCACAGAGCCTGTGAGTAGATCTGGAAACTGAACCAACTTAGACTTCAAGGATCACATTCTCAACCCCGGTGCTAAACTAGATGTAAGTAAAGGAGATCAAATGCTTTGGCTGGCTGGTTGAAGACTCACCAGACCTGTTGATGTTGCCAACTCAACTTGTGTGCATACAAGGGAGGCCCCTGGCTCAAAACCCAAATTCTTTGGACAGTGCATGAGAGAGGACCATCTACAAGATGAATGAATTCAAGTCATTACCCATTCAATTTCTATCTTTCCCATCACTAGTTTATTCCTACTCTACCCCTCATATTAGTCACCAGGTCTAACACAAAGGAAATGCCCAAGAAATACTTGTTAATTGAATGAATCAGAGAAAAGGAGAAAGGAAAGAAAAGGAATAAGGACCAGGTACACCTGAAACATTGTAAATCAACTACACTTCAATTAAATAAATAAATGTAATAATAATAATAATAATAAAAAAGATGGACCAGGTAGGGAAGGTGGATGGAAAGAAGGAAGGGGCAGTGCTGGGGGTGGACAAAGGGGCAGGAGTGAGAGAAAGAACAAAGGGAGGGGGCTAGGAGATGGGTAGAAGAGAGAAGTCAATGTACGCTTCCCAGGCTCTGATCCACTATTTGTCTCAGATGAACCTGTGAGAGTCCCAGAGTTTTCCAGTACCACTCGCCCCCAAATTACCCTGACCTCTGCCTTCATTTCAAGAGTTTCCACTTCTGGCCAAGTGCTAAGGTCCAGCTGGCTGTCCACCCTACCCCTGCCTGATCCCTTGCTCTGCACACTGGGAAGTGGGCTCTGGGCTCAGTCCCATTCTCTGGGCCTCCCTCAGTTTCCTGGCATGGCCTTAGAGCTCAGTGCTACCTTCCTGCCCCGCTTCCTCTTCCTGCCTCCAGTTCCCTGGAGATGAAGCCATCCAGGCATCTCGACCCTCAGCCAGGACACATCCATCACACCTCTCTACTGGCTTTTCCGTGGCAGAATCTTAAAGCACCAAGCCTGCTTCTGCTGGGCCCAACTTCCCACGAGTTCCAGGGGAGGGGCACCACCTGTTCCTGACACCTTTGCCTTGGAGATGGCAAGTGGAGACAGAGGCCAGAGTCTACAACAGGAGTGGACGAATGACTCACTCAAGAATCTGTCCCTAGGTAGGGGTTAGAAGGGAGTCAGGCCATGCCCCTGTCTGATAACTTCAGTGGAACTTCCTAAGTAAACATCTTCCTTTCTCTCTCTCTAGAGGAGTCTGCCCCTCACCACCCTGCCACCAGGCTGGTATATCCTCTACCACGCCCTCTGCTCAGGTTTCCAACTCCTGGGCCAGACTTGGCTCCTCGCGGCTCCAAGAAGGGCTGGAAAGGTCATCGTTTTACCCACCACTTCGCAGGAGCAGGCTTTCTGAGCTCCAGGCGGGTCTCTGCCATTGTGTCTCCTTTAACCTCCCAAGGACTCAGCAAGGCCGGTATTGCTGACCCCACTTCACGATGCGGAAAAGGAGGCTCAGGGAGGCTAAGTGACTTGCCCGGGGTCACAGAGCGGGTAAGTGGCCACCACCAGGATCTCGGCCGGGAGTCTAACTCCAAAGCCAGTGCTGGTAATCACCGGACTCCCGCAAGTGCGAAGCCGGAGTCCCGCTCACTCGGCGCGGGGCCGCCGGGACCGGCGC